GGTAGTGAGGGGCGGGTTACTCCTCCTCCTCCTTAGCAAAAGGAGTTATTAACTATGCTTTTCAGTGCTTAGGAAGTGATAGTAATAACAACCCAGGATCTGATATTCAAAAGCCACAACCACAGAGGAAGGCCAAGCACAGAAGCCACAACCACCACAGACTGCCTCGGGAGATGGCGGATGCTCCTTCGCTGGACGTTTTCAAGCGGAGGCTGCACGACCATCTTCCGGGTATGTTGTAGGGCTTTCTTTCGGCTATGCTCCTGCATTGTGCAGGGGGTTGGACTAGATGACCTGCGAGGTCCCTTTCCAACTCCAACGTTCTCTGATTCTATGATGCTGCTCATCTCTTGCCTTGAAAACCCCGTGGGGTGGAATGTCATGAGGATTCCATGATTTGTGCGCAACTCGTTGGCACACTTTGGTGACGATGCTATCGTTCCCTGTTAACTTCACCGTGAAGCTTCTAGCCCTCGTTGACGAAAAGGCCTTCTTGAAAGTGCCTGGGCAGTGCTAGCCCAAAATCTCAGCTTCCCCTTGATTAGGAATGGAGCTTCGTTGCCAACTCCAGGTTGGGAATTCCCTGGAGATTTGGGGATGGAGGCTGGGGAGGATGGGTTTGGGGCATGGGGTCTAGTGCCCTAGAGAGCCCTCTTGGGTGAACAACTCAGCATGCTTGGACATTAAAAAGTAAAGGTAAAGGTTCCCTTGCTCGGAAGCCAGTTGAATCCGACTCTAGGGTTGCGGTGCTCATCTCCCTTTCCAAGCCGAAGAGCCAGCGCTGTCCGAAGACATTTCCGTGGTCATGTGGCCGGCATGACTAAACACCAAGGCGCACAGAACGCTGTTCCCTTCCCACCAAAGTGGTCCCTATTTATCTACTTGCAATTTCTTGCTTTCAAACTGCTAGGTTGGCAGGAGCTGGAACTAGAGACAGGAGCTCACTCCGTCATGCGGCACACTCGGGTCTCGAACTGCTGAACTACCGACCTTCCACAGCCTGCAGTTCAGCATCTTAACCACTTGAGCTACCGCAGCTCCCAATAAGGGTACAAGCGAAACACAAATAAAACCTATAAAAACAATAAAAACTCTTAGCCCTAGTTGGCCACCCAGGGCAGGAATCAAGAATTCTCTAGAATTTGATTCAGGAGGCTGACAGACACATAGGCCCAGTCTGCATCTAGCATTTGCTCTGCTGTTATACCAAACCCACCCTGGAATTTCTTGCTTTCGAACTGCTAGGTTGGCAGGAGCTGGAACTAGAGATGGGAGCTCACTCCATCATGCGGCACCCGGGTCTTGAACTGCTGAACTACCGACGACTTGAGCCACTGCAGCTCCAGCTTGGACATTGGGGGCCGCTATATCACTCTTCGGTATCATCTCCTCGAATGGGGCGCCTCTCTTTGTCTTAACCTGGGAGCTGTCCTCTAACCCCTTCTCTCTTTGCCATCTCACTCTCTCCTCATGGCCTTCCATGGAGACACAAGTCTCTGCAAGTCTCTCCTGTAGATATAATGCCCTCATACTCCCGTACACGTGATGCCAGATTAGCTGGCTGTTTGTGATAGGGAAAGTACTCTTCAGATTAGTTTTCTCTCTCTTCTTTTGACAACAGCCTGCAAGTGAACCAGATCTACTTGAATAAATGTAAGTTTACTTTTTTGCAATATACTTCTTGGGGGGGATGTATTTACTGCACTCAGTATCAGGCTTCTGCGACTGGGCAAACTCTGCGATATGAACCAAATAGCCCAATAACCTTCCCAAGCAGCGATTTCCTCCAGGGGACTGGAACTCTGCTGTTTGGAGACCGGTTGTTATTCCAGGAGAGCTCCAGGCCCCATATGGAGGTTGGCAACCCCATATTGCCCTTCACAGTTTTTTAGCTCCTGAAGCCAGGACTAGCAGAAACACAACTGAGTAAAACAGGGGGAAAAAAAAGCCATGAGAACAAGAGAAGGCATTTGGAAATAATTATAAAAGAGTTTGGCAATCGTTGGAATCAGGGGTGTCAAACATGCGGCCCGGGGGCCGGATCAAGCCCCCAGTGGAATTGGCTGTCTCCTGCTTCTTCTTCCAGTTCTGCTGCTGCTGCGTCATCGTAGAAGAAGAAGAAGAAGAAGAAGAAGAAGAAGAAGAAGAAGAAGAGATTGGATTTATACCCCGCCCTTCACTACCCGAAGGAGTCTCAGAGCGGCTTACAAACACCTTTCCCTTCCCCTCCCCACAACAGACACCTTGTGAGGTAGGTGGGGCTGAGAGAGCTCTGACAGAAACTGCTCTTTTTCAAGAACAGCTGTGCCAGAACTATGGCTTGCCCAAGTCCATCCAGCCAGGTGCAAGTGGAGGAGTGAGGGAATCAAACCCAGTTCTCCCAGATTAGAGTCTGCGCACTTAACCACTACACCAAACTGACTCTGTAGGTTTGCAGCTTACAGATACACTCCTGAACAGCATACTCAAGACTGCAACAGCACAGACTTTTGGATGTAATAATTCAGAGCAAGAGGTGTCAGTTATTGGACACGGTTAAATAAAGAAAATATTGCAAGAGTGCTAAATGTTTTAAGCATGTTTTTATTTTAAGTAAAAAAGAACCCCTTTGTGTTTGTGTCCTTTATAAAGTTTATATCTCCGCTACCTGGCACGACATTCTATGACACACACGTGGCCCGGCCCAACAAGGTCTCATTTAGGTCAGATCTGGCCCTCATAACAAATGAGTTCGACACCCCTGGCTTAAATAATATATACAAACGCGTGATCTCCTACTGTTTCAGAAGAAGCTCCCTAAACAGTTGGAACGCACAAAGGTTGTGCAGAGATGCCCTGCAGCCGGGGAAAGCAGGGACGGGGGGAAGATGTCAAAGGCAGCTGCTGACCTAAGGAACGAAGGAATGAATCCCTTGGACTGAGGAGTCCGGAGCAACGCTCCCTCTAAGCTGTGGAGTCTTGTGAGCGAAAGCTCTACTTTGCGAGCGACTGGCATTAAAGTTGTGAGCGAGCCATTTGGCGACTGCAGGCGCATGCAGCCAGCTGGGTGGCCTTGAGTCAGTCACAGTTCTCTCAGAGCTCTCTCAGCCCCACCTACCTCACAGGGTATCTGTTGTGGGGAGAGAAAGGGGAGGGGATTGTAAACCACCTCCTCCTCCTCCTCTGCTTGTTATTGGCCGGCCTCATTCAAATGAAAGGCTTTTCCAGAACAGCAATAGTATCCACAGCCATTGGAGGATAGGAACCCTTTCCTTAGTCCGTGTGTGGTTCCATTCCCCCTTCTCTTTCTACTTTCCTCACCCCTTGAGATTATTGGCTTCAATGTAAAAAGAAAATTAATTTGTCTTGGAAGCACGGAAGCTTTACACAGTATCCGCGATCCTCCCCGTTTCCCAGTTAAGGGAAAATGCAGTTCAGACAATGACAAAGATGACCTGACTCCGATGGTAACCAGAGAAAGAAATTTTACATACAAAAATAGAAGCACATCTTACATGAAATATTTTCGTAGGGACATTTACATTGGCCCTGTTAAGGTGATTTTACTTGTACTCTTAGAGCCTCAACTGGAAGGTACATATTGGTAACATTACTATCTCCGATATATGTAATTGCTTCTGACACAAGGCCAGATACATTTGTGGCCCCACAAACAAATTTTTGTGTGTGTTATTCAATTCCAAATTGGACCATTCCATTTGTGATCCTATACCAATTGTTTAGAAAAAGAGAAGATGAAGAGATTGGATTTATACCCCGCGCTTCACTACCCAAAGGAGTCTCAGAGTGGCTTACAATCTCCTTTCCCTTCCCCTCCCCATAACAGACACACTGCAAGGTAGGTGGGGTTGAGAGAGCTCCGACAGAAACTGCTATTTTTCAAGAACAGTGCTGAGAGAACTTGTGACTGACCCAAGGTCACATCAGCAGCTGCATGTGGAGAAGTCGGGAATCAAACCCAGTTCTCCCAGATTAGAGTCCACGCACTTAACCACTACACCAAACTGGCTCAGTTTACTGCCTTACGAGTGTAACAGGGGCTTTGCTGCATGTTGTGTTCTCGACTATTTGACCTCTGCAGAAGGCTCTCGTGGGCCGAAACACGTCAAGGTCATCTATGGTTCTTTTTGTGGATTCGTCACTTTGATTATTTTATGAGGCTTTATTTGGGCCCCTACAAGGTTTCTATATGTTTTGGAAATAAACACGGGTACTTTTGGCCCTTTAAAAAGGTAAAGGTTCCCTTGCTCGAGTCCGACTCTAGAGTTGCGGTGCTCATCTCCGTTTCAAAGCCGAAGAGCCAGCGCTGTCCGAAGTCGTTTCCGTGGTCATGTGGCCGGCATGACTAAACACCAAGGCGCACGGAACTCTGTTACCTTCCCACCGAAGTGGTACCTATTTATCTCCTTGCAATGTCTTGCTTTCGAACTGCTAGGTTGGCAGGAGCTGGAACTAGAGATGGGAGCTCACTCCGTCATGCGGCACCCGGGTCTCGAACTGCTGAAGTACTGACCTTCCACAGCCTGCAGTTCAGCGTCTTAACCACTTCAGCCACCGCAGCTCCTTTTTGGCCCTTTACTAGTCTTCTAAACTTCCTTTGGAGGTCTTTATTGATTCCAAACGGCACAACCAGACTTTGGCCTGCAGGCCTTTAGTATCAAAATACCCATCAGCACAGAGAGAAGGAAGAGGGCAGGAATTCCTCCCCCTGGCCTGCATCTCCCTGCAACAATTTGCTTTATTTATAACTCCCCTTTCTCTCCAATGGGGTCCTGAAGGGGTCATTTCCCTCTCCTCCATTTTATCCTCACAACAACCCTGTGAGGTAGCCTAGGCCAAGAGTGTATGACTGACCTATGAGTACCCAGCACACTTCCATAGCAGAGCGGGGATTCGAACCTGGGTCTCCCAGATGCTGGCCTGACACTTTAACCACTGCACCATGCTGGCTCCCAGCGTAGCAATTTCTCACGAGCGAGCGACCGCATCGCCCAGATATGCTAAGGGGGCAAAAGAGAGTCGAGCGGGGCTTCCCATTCGCCCAGGACCACGTCCCTCCGCACGCCGGAGCCCTTGTTGACCACCTTGACCCTCAGGCTCAGCCTGGGCAGCTCCTCCAGTAAGACCCCCTCGAAGAAGAAGTCCTCATTGAAGATGGGGTTGCGGCTTCTCTTGATGAGCGCGCTGCGCTGCCGTTGCACCGAGCCCGGCCTCAGGGAAAGGGAGACGCAACAGCTGATGTGCCGTGGATCGTAGTGGGGCTGGTAGAACCCTTCCGCGCTGACGAGGCGCACCCGGATGCGCCTCTGTGGCAGGAGATATTCCATAGACAGCCTCAAGGGCCCCCCTTTGCTCGTGGTCAGCGCCACCTCCTTGGTGAGCCGCTCGTGGCAACGGATGAAGTCCAGCGGGGAGATCGGCAGGGGGGACAGGGAGGCGGGGGACCCCCAGGAGGGCTCGGTTTCCCGACGCTGAACGCCGGGGCTGGTGTCCGTTGAGCTGGTCTCCTCGGTGGATAAGGAGTTAGGCCGAAGCCCTGCCTTGAGCTTGGGGGAGCAAAACGTGAATCTCCGTCGGTGCCCATGCACCGGCCGTGTCAGAGTGCCCCCTAGGGACCGCAACGGCAGGGGCGAACCATAGGGGGACGTCTCCGTGGAGGAGGCTGTGTCACTGTCCAGTGTTGCGCCAGGGTAGGAGACAGGCCTCGAGGGAGAGGAGGACCTGGCACCCAACCCTTGGGGCAGGCATTCCCCGTGGAAGAGGGACTCTCGTCGGCGTGTGTGGGGACTCTCGGGCAAAAAGTCCCAGCCCTCTGGGCTAGAGAGCTGAGGCATGGAGGTGGTGCTCTGGAGGCGCCTGGCAGGCCGGCCTTCCTCCTGGTCATAGCTTTCCACCTGGATGATGTGCTGCTCCACAGGACGAGTTTGAGATTCGTTGGTGGCAGGGCTCTGGTTCCTTTGCGACCGCCGGCCCTGAATGGTGGCCAGGTTAGGTGGGATGAGAAATGCAGGGATCTTGTCCGGCGTGAGCACGTTGGGGCAGGCAGGCAGGGGGCGGGAAGGCTTCCTTCTGGAGAACATCCCGGAGCGGATGGGGACCTTAGGAGGAAAAATTCCAGGCATGCACAAAGATGGCCATCCTAAAAAAAAAAAGAGGAGGGAAATATCAGGCTAAGTTCCTTTGGACCCACCTTGGAAGGAATAAGAAGAGAAATGAATTAAAGAGTCTTGGGCTGATTTCCCACTAGAGCTGCCTCGATGTTGGGCTGCCGTTTGCCCTGATACTATTTATTTATTTATTTATATTTTCGACTTGCTATACCGCCCTGACCACGAAGGGTCTCTGGGCGGTTTACATAGTGGGTTCTAAGAACGCTTGATCCCTAACTAGGGCCACATGATATAGGGGCGGGGCTGCCTACTGGCACCCAGCTGGTGGACCTGTTGCGGTCTCTGGCGCTTCGGGATGACTTTCGTTGGCGTGACAGTTCTGGCGCACGGCCCATCTTCGCTTCGGCCTCGGCTCTGTCCATTAGGCTCTGCCGCGAAGCTGCGGGGCTGCATTTTGACTCGCGGCTTCGTCCGATTTCCCCTGCAGTTTCGTGATCCTGTTTTTTGAGGATCACGAAACTGCGGAGGAAATTGGGCAAAGCCGGGGGTCAAATGCAGCCCTGCGGCTTCGGGTGTGAAATTGACCAATAGTATCAGGGCAAACGGCGGCGCAACATCGAGGCAGCTCTAGTGTGAAATCAGCCTTTGAGAGATGAACTGACAGTTCCTAGGGCCAGTCACAGTGATTTTCAAGATGTCTGCTTACCAGTGCGGTGTACTGAGCAAAAGAAGGGACTTCCTAGCACTGATTATAAGACGCTAATCAAAGTAGCAGCCTATAAATATAACACTGATATGTGAACAGTAGATCAAATTTTACATAAATACACAAAGTGCAATGAGTACATAAAGGCAGGTGTTACGATAGAACAACAAAGATTCCGGATATACACTCCGTTTCATCTGTCTTCTTCAGGAATGGATATATACTAAAGAAGAATATATGAAAAACAATACATAGAACCATATATGATAAGTGTAACAGTAACAATAATGATATTAATGATAATCATGGTAATAATAATAATAATAATAATTAAAAAATAATAAATAATAAAAATAATAAAAATGCATTCCTGAAGAAGACAGGCGAAACGAAGTGCATAGCCAGAATTTTCATTTTTCTACTGTAACACTTACCTGCATTTATGTACTCGTATTCATTTGCATATTTACATAAAATTTCTTCTACTGTTCACTTATAACTGTTAAACGCATTTATAGGCTTCTACTTTGATTAGCGTCTTACTCCACACCAGTGTGGTGTAGTCAGGGCTTTTTTTCTGGGGAAATGTGCTGGACTGGAGTTCCGGAACCTCTTCAACAAAATTCTTTTAAAAATGTTTAAAAGTTCAATTTTTATGAGTTTTGCAAGCTGATATTTGTTCCTCATAACTCTGTTATGTTTTTGACCTGTTTCTTTTAGTCAGGGCTTTTTTGGTAGAAAAAGTCCAGCAGGAACTCATTAGCATAAAAGGCCACACCCAGAAGCAGAAACTCATTAGCATATTAGGCCACACCCCTGACTGCACCGCTCATTAGCATATTAAGCCGCATTCCCATGTTACCAGAAGTGTGCTCATCCAGCCACACCCACCTTTTTCTTCTTATTCTGTTTACCTTGTTTGTGGTCAAAACCCAGGGCTTTTTTTGTAGCAGGAACTCCTTTGCATGTTAGGCCACACACCCCTAATGTAGCCAATCCTAATGTGTTTCTGCTGTTGGGTGTGGCCTATTATGCTAATGAGTTTCTGCTGGGTGTGGCCAATTCGGGAGCCAGCTGGAACTCCGTTCCTGTGCGTTCCTGCCCAAAAATAGCCCTGCAGTATTATTTTATAATCTTTTCATGTCAGCTTTCTATCAGCATGTGTTCTCTTCTCTCACATACATGTAAATACTTTAAATTCTGTTTTAATGTTTATATCACACACGATCAAATAATATAACATATACCCTTTATTCTCCATAGCTTTGCAAAGCAACTAAACACCCTATTACATTCCTGAAGGTACAAGTGTGGAACTTGTATTTTTCGAATGACTCAGAATTCTTTTCTATGAGAATTTACCTTGCTCCTTGCCATTGATATGACTTTGTATTCCTGCCTCTAACAATTACAGGTGATGTAAGGGTGGTGTTGGTTTTAAACATTAAAAAAAAAAAAGTTCACGAGTTTTCCGCATACAGGTTGAAAACCTCATTTCCCTCCTGAGAGTTTCAGCATCTTAAAAAAAAAAAAAAAAAAAAAAAAGCTCCGGGTGTCGTGGTTAAAAGTGTTGGATTGGTCTCTGGGAGACCCGGGTTTGAATCCCCACTTTGACATGGAAGCTCGTTGGGTGACCTTGGGCTGGTCACCCTCTCTCAGCTGAACCTACCTCACAGGGTTGTTGTGAGGATAAATTTGAGGAGAGGAGAATGGTGTATGCTGCTTGGGGTCTCCCTTGGGGAGAATGTCGGGGTACAAACGACTTTAAAGAAATAAATCACAACGGCTGGGAGCTGTCCCTGCCGTTTTCCGCCAGTGCTCACACGGACTAGGATTACATAGATTCATGGCGGAGAAGCCTATCAGTGGCTACTAGCCATGGTGACTGAGGGGAACCTCCACATTCAGACGCAGTCAACCTCTGAATCCCAGAACCCGGAGGCAACATCAGGGGAAGGCCTTGGCCTCTCTGCCCTGTTGCTGGCCCTCCAGAGGAACTGCTTGGCCACCGTGTGAGACGGGATGCTGGACTAGATGGACCCTCACTGGTCTGACCCAGCAGGGCTCTTCTGAAGTTCTTCTCAGGGGAAGGCCTCGGCCTCCCTGCCCTGTTGCTGGCCCTCCAGAGGAACTGCTTGGCCACCGTGTGAGACGGGATGCTGGACTAGATGGACCCTCACTGGTCTGACCCAGCAGGGCTCTTCTGAAGTTCTTCTCAGGGGAAGGCCTCGGCCTCCCTGCCCTGTTGCTGGCCCTCCAGAGGAACTGCTTGGCCACCGTGTGAGACGGGATGCTGGACTAGATGGACCCTCACTGGTCTGACCCAGCAGGGCTCTTCTGAAGTTCTTCTCAGGGGAAGGCCTCGGCCTCCCTGCCCTGTTGCTGGCCCTCCAGAGGAACTGCTTGGCCACCGTGTGAGACGGGATGCTGGACTAGATGGACCCTCACTGGTCTGACCCAGCAGGGCTCTTCTGAAGTTCTTCTCAGGGGAAGGCCTCGGCCTCCCTGCCCTGTTGCTGGCCCTCCAGAGGAACTGCTTGGCCACCGTGTGAGACGGGATGCTGGACTAGATGGACCCTCACTGGTCTGACCCAGCAGGGCTCTTCTGAAGTTCTTCTCAGGGGAAGGCCTCGGCCTCCCTGCCCTGTTGCTGGCCCTCCAGAGGAACTGCTTGGCCACCGTGTGAGACGGGATGCTGGACTAGATGGACCCTCACTGGTCTGACCCAGCAGGGCTCTTCTGAAGTTCTTCTCAGGGGAAGGCCTCGGCCTCTCTGCCCTGTTGTTGACCCTCCAGAGGACCGCGGCCTCAGTCTCCAAGTCAGGGCGGAGAGAAAGAGGTGATTGGTTGTTGCCTGCCTCTGCGTAGCAACCCTAGATTTCCTCTGTGGTCTCCCATCCAAGTGAGGGGCCATGGCTCAGTGGCAGAGCATCTGCTTTGCATGCAGAAGGTCCCAGCTAGCTCACCCTCACTTAGCTTAGAGGGAACACTGCACAACCCCACCCCCCTGGGAAACCTGGTTGGATTCTGTGGTTAGAACAGCCGTTTTCAGGTTTTTCCCTTTTGGCCAAAGTGTTTGCCCTTGGTGGGAGCTGTCAAGGAGCTCCTAGCGGAAGCCCTGGCATGAAAGCACCAGGCTAGATCGGCATGGGTCAGTGATCTTTCCACCATTGGTCACATGTGTGACTGCACAGTGCCCACGCATGGGACGGGGGGGGGGAGGAAATAGGCACACTTTATTGGCACAGGAGGATACTGAGGTGCCAGCCCTCGACTCTGCCGTTTCAGAAGCGAGAAAAAGACCTCTGTCTTTTCTGATGCTTTAGGTAAGACTAGGAATAAGGCCCATTGTGGAAATAAATACAATGAGCGCTAGAAAGAGGCTCTGGGAGAGTGCCAAGGCCGTGGGCACTCAGCATCAATTTGCCACGGCAACTTCAGCAGGGTAAAAGGACACAGAGTCCACCATTTTCTCCAGGGAAACGGATCAATGCCATCTGGAGAGCAGTTGTAATTCTGAGTGATCTCCAGCCCTCACCTGGAGATTGGCAACAGTGGTTCCCCATGAGGGAATGGCTGGTTTGGATGGCAGAGTCTATGGCGTTGTACCTGTCTTAGGCCCCACTCCTCCTCAAACCTCACCCTCTCCAGGCTCCATCTCTCAAATCTCCAGGAATTTCCCACCTAGAGTTGGCAACCCTATCTCCTTCCCAGCCAAGCATCAACCTACCTTCATTTCCCCCTCACTGATCAGCTGTCCATCTCCCCCCCACCAGCAGCCCCCACTGTGCTCAGAAGCGAGAAAAAGACTGGAGTCTTTTCTGATGCTTTATGTAAAATGGAAGATATTCCCCATTTCTGCCAGGCTTGGCTGGGGTGGAGTTGCTACCCTGCCTGAGCATGGCTGGCCCCAACGGCCCTCCCTAGATCTTGGTATGGGTCACAATAGACTACGTGCAGTCTTTGTTGGATATTGTAAGTCTGCATGCAAGAGGATCTGGGAGGGAAAGTGAAGAGAGAAGAGATTGGGTTTATGCTCCCCGCCCTTCACTACCCGAAGGAGTCTCAGAGCAGCTTACAATCTCCTTTCCCTTCCCCTCCCCTGTGAGGTAGGTAGGGCTGAGAGAGCTCTCTCCAGAACTGTCTAGGGTGTCTGTTGTGGGGAGGGGAAGGGAAAGAAGTTTGTAAGCCGCTCTGAGACTCCAAGTGAAGGGCGGGGTATAAATCAAATCTCTTCTTCTCTTCTTCTTGTTCTTCAAAATCCAAATCCCAAAACATAGCACAATCCACACGGTACCATTGACACCAGTTTGGTGTATTGCTTAAGTGCGCGGATTTGACTCCCCATGCAGCTGCTGGATGACCTTGGGCAAGCCATAGTTCTCTCAAGGACAGTTCTTGAAAGAGCTCTCTCAGCCCAGCTACCTCACAGGGGTGTCTGTTGTGAGTAGGGGAAGGGAAAGGGGTTTATAAGTCTCTCTGAGACTCCGAGTGAAGGGCGGGGTATAAATCCAATCTCTTCTCTCTCCTTTTTATTGCAAACTGGCCCCAAATGACACAAAACGGTGAGTTTTTGAGTTCACCAGAAAGAGTTGTCCTACTCCAGATTTAAGGTTGCCAAACTCCAGGTGGGGCCTGGAGATCTCCCGCTAAAACTGATCTGCAGACTACAGAGGTCAGCTTCCCTGGAGAAAATGGCTGCTTTGGAGGGCGGACTCTGTGGCATCAGACCCCCACTGAGGTCCCTCCTGTCCTCCCCAGGCTGCATCCCCAAATCTCCAGGAGTTTCCCAACCTGGAGCTGGCAACCCTAACCCTCCCATCCCAGAGACCTGGCAACTGTACGGGAAGGATCCAATTGGTCAGTCATGTTGGTCTGAAGCAGAAGAACAAATCTAGAGTCCAGCGGCACCTTTAAGACCAACAAAGGTTTATTCACGGCAGGGGTCATTTCCTGCGGGAGCGCACAGGAGTGGAGCTCCGGCAGTAAAGAGCCCAGGGGGCGGGCACATGCAACAAGCCCCACCCCCTGCTCCCAGCAGCCTTCAGTCAGAGCAAGAAGCAGCCAGGTAAGTTGCAGAGCTCCCCCCGGCTCCCCGGTCCAAAACAGTCCAGTGGCACCTTTAAGACCAAGTTTTATTCAGGTAGAAGCTCTCCCTCCTCTGCGAGGACAGATCTGCGTGTCCCCCCCCCCAATAGCTAGCAATCCAAAAGAGTCCAGTGGAGCCTGAGTGGTGGGTATTGCCTTCTGAAACACTTCCGGTGATGTCAGGGGGTGTGGCCTATGCAAATAAGTTATGCTAATGAGTTATGCTAATGAGCTCCTGCACCTCTTTTTCTACAAAATGACCGCTGATTTACGGCATGAGCTTTCGTGTGCAAGGCACACTTTGTCAAATACATTAGAATGGCAGGCGAGGTTCTGACTTATAGCTAGAGAA